GTCGTATCGCTTAAATGCGGCGCTACAATTGATGTACGAGTAAGGGCCCAAGAACATTCAATATTCAAAAGTTTTAACAATTTTCATAATCATTAAGGCAAAAAAGTTATTTATAATATAATGTTGTTCGCTTCCACTGGGCGATTTTATAAATATTTACGATTATCACGAATAGGTCGCTATCGAGGCGCCTAATAAATAATAATTACTTAATAAAACTTTTACTTTTAAATAGCTCTGTAATTCAATTGTACCACCATGTTTTTTTGCTTTCCGTCTCACCGCCTCCTCGACACAACGAAACACGCGTGTCCATATACAGCGTTTTTAATGACAATATAGATTGTCGTTAAAAAATTTGATCATTTTAATGTGCCAACTGAACTTGTTAAATGGAAGAAAATAATAAATGTCGTCGATATTATTGAATACAATTACATGTACGATTACATGTGCTTATTTGTGTCGGATAAATTGATAAACGATCCTTCATCTACTTTAGGAAATACATCGTGATAAATATAAGGACTAATCGAGTTAAGAAAATAAAGACAAAAATCTTTAGTTTAAATGCAACGATGTATTTATTGGGAATGTCTGTCCGATCAGATTTATATTTTCTCTAAGCAACTTTTTAAATTCATTTGAAAATTCAACACACACACACGCACGCACGCACAGAGAGAGAGAGAGAGAGAGAGAGAGAGAGAGAGAGAGAGAGAAACACAGAGAAACACAGACAACAACACAAAAGGAACGACTTTCAACTAATGGAAATTTTTTTTTTATGAAAGTCTCTTTATCACCTCTTTAAAATACTTAGCGCAACAATTTACAAGTACAGATTTTTATCTCTATCAACCATAAAACACGTATTAAATGAAAATTAATTTTCTACAGGCACCACCGCGTAACATAAGATTTCTAATTGATCTATAATTTTTACAATATAAGCCTCGGCTTATGTACAAAACACTGTTTTTCTTATTTTTCTCTACTTCTTCTTCTTCTTCTTCTTCTTCTTCTTCTTCTTCTTCTTCTTCTTCTTCTTCTTCTTCTTCTTCTTCTTCTTCTTCTTCTTCTTCTTCTTCTTCTTCTTCTTCTTCTTCTTCTTCTTCTTCTTCTTCTTCTTCTTCTTCTTCTTCTTCTTCTTCTTCTTCTTCTTCTTCTTCTTCTTCTTCTTCTTCTTCTTTTCCTTTATTTTCGCCCATTTTTTGACAATTTAACGTTAAAAGGAAAACTCGTTTGTTAAACGGTGAAGATACGCGTATGCATGTTGTTGCTAAAAAGTGAAAGTAAGTCGATGAAAGTACGCCTGACAGCAATTGCAGAAGCGAGGGACCCGATTCCAATACCCAAGCTGTACATATGTATATATATATATATATATATAAATGTCGTGTCGGCAACACGTGTTTGTCCGCCCAAAAGAAACAAAATGAAATCTATCGAATATTTTTATACGGGCACTAAGACACTTTACGTTATATATCATAAAAAATCAAGAACAATAAGCATTTCGTATTTTACGGCGATTAATCTTTTGTGCCTACGCATAGCCGCGCAAAGGTTTAGGTATTTCCGAAGTTTGGGCATTGAAAGGAAACGACGACGTGATTATCGAAAAATTAATAGATACATATATTTTGCGTACAATTAATTAATTATACGTACTTTTTAATTGAAAATCCTTTTTTTTTTCAATTTTGTAAAAAATTCCCGTTGATCTTTGTTTTTTGTTTTCTTTCCTCCACGAAAATTAATTGAATCTTTATTAACGAGTAATTGTAGTTGAACGATCTCGTAATTCGATGTAAATTACAAATTACAAAGCCCCTTAATAATCTAGATGTATTATAATAAACATAAAACTGAAAAGAACAATACAAGAAGAAAAAGAAAAAACAAACATATGCATGGATAATGTGGAATACGTAGAATTTATTCAGTTTAGTTTAAAGATCCAATATTATTATGATGGTCGACAATTATCTGCATGATTGCTAAAAAAAAAACAAAAGCTTGTAATAAAATGACTTTGCTTTTCAACTAAAAAAAAAAAAAAAAGAAAGAAAAAAATGCCGCTAGAAAATGCGTCAATGGCCGTTAATGAGAGTGAAAATTATTATAATTAATTCCTGCTTACGAAATCGCCGCTCGCCTTGCACGTAAATTTTTGTCAATCTGCGATAAATTCATCGCCAGCTGAAAATAGTGCAAACAATGACCTGTCGTCGATCATCCCCGGATTATTCCTTGGCTGATAATGCAAAAGCCTCGAAGGTGCATTCTCATTGACGGAATAGCCGGGATTCGCAGAAAGAAATTGTCCGACAATCAAATATGAAAACAGTAACGCTGCGTCGGTCGATCGAAAGTGCATTTTCCCTCAATCTCGACATCTTCGTTTTGCCGAAATGATTCGGCGTGCAGAGAGAGAGAGAGAGAGAGAGAGAGTGAGGGGGGGGGGGGGGCAATTTCATTCTTTAATGACTGACCTATGCGGTAATTACTATTACATTTCCTTAATGTAAGAAGTCGTGACGTTTGCCTTTACGTAAAAAACGTTGCATTTGGCTTGCGTGTGGTCTCGCTTACCCCCCCCCCCCCCCCCCGGCGTTTTTTTTGGTT